ACCCAGCAGCTTTATTTCTGCCCTGATTGTGATGAGGTGGGAGATAGAGGTGGGTAGTACCCAAGTGGTCAGATGCTCTGTAAAACCCTTGCACAGCTCTGGCAGTCCACCTCCAACAGGCCTGCTGTTCCACTGATGGGCCTCTCCCAAATGAAACCTCTCACAGCGATGCTTTGTTTTTAATAAAAAGAAAAGGAGTACTTGTGGCACCTTAGAGACTAACCAATTTATTTGAGCATAAGCTTTCGTGAGCTACAGCTCACCCGTAGCTCACGAAAGCTTATGCTCAAATAAATTGGTTAGTCTCTAAGGTGCCACAAGTCCTCCTTTTCTTTTTGCGAATACAGACTAACACGGCTGTTACTCTGAAACCTTGGTTTTTAATGACACTGAGCGCCACCTACCAGCAGGAGCTAGACTAAACCCAGCAAATGCACGGCAATGCTATGACCTCGGAGTCCCTAACCTGTGTGACAGTTAATATATGGTCAGTCCTGTAGCTCGCTCTGGGTGTAGCAGGAAGGAAGTGCCTAATGCCCCCAAGCAAAACTCCAGGTGACTCCCATGGGAGATTTGCCTAAGGAGGGACTGTGGGTTCGAGCAGGAAGGGGGTTTGAGCACTGTGGTGGAATGGAGCTGATGGCATGTGGCCAGGAGAATCTAACAGCGCCGGATGCAACCTGGAGCAGCTACCTCTTGCCAGTGCTGGGGTCGCTTCCTGGTCACCACAAATGCCAGCACTGCCTTCTTTGGATCACTAAATGAACATGTCGACGGAGAGCATGTGAAAGGGATGATGGAGAGGGAAGCTCCAAAGTGGTGTAGCTGAGCTAACAAGGGGGCCTTTACAGAACTCATCAGTCTAAGGCAAGGCCAGCCCTCCTCTGACTGTGCCGATGCATCTCTCCAGAGAGGTTAAGTTTTCAAGGTCTGCATTTAGAATGACAGTTTTCTGAAAGCCTCATTAAATTGGCTGTTAGTTACAGTGCGTGTCACAAGATCTGAGGCATGCCGCAGCCAGATCTATAATTCCCTTGTGCGCTGGGGGTGGGGGAAAGCAGACGTTTTATGAGATGTTCTGAGAGGCTCTGACTCAACGATGGCAAAGAAACACTATTTAAGTGCCATTTTCTCTTCTTTATGGGGTACTGCAAAAGACCATATGCTCTGGCAAGGGCGAGTGCCTTTTATCCCCTGGAAGAGCTGTGTTTTGTGGACACAAAAGCCAGCCAATGATCTTAAACTGGAAGTTTGGAAAGCTGCTGTTCATAGTCTTGGGTGACTTTTCCCAATTTGCCCTTGCTTCCCTTGTATATTCCACCCAGGATTAGTTCTCCGTGCCATCTGCGTGCACCATGAGACTTCTGCACTCACTGGGGCAGACTAAATTTTACTTCCTCCCCGTTCTACTCTGGCCCATGGTTGGAGCAGAATCAGGTAGACAAGGGGACGTTTCATCCCTACTTACTCCATCTGAGGGTCATGTAGGGCAAGGACTAGGACAGTGAAAGGGGAAGCAACATGGGGGTGGTGATATCTCAATGATCTAGTGGAGTGGGAATATAGACAAGAAACTAAGTCTCTACCAAACTAAAACACTCTGCTGCATAGCGCTGATCAGAAAACTTCCGAGGAAGCTGTTTTTCATCAGAAAATACCATTTAGACTAAACCAAAATTGGTCATGCTGTCACATCAATTTCAACAAAACTTCATTTGGAAAAAAACTGGAAAAGCTTTTAGAAAATGTTCAAATGTCCCATTCAGACGTTTTCAGAACAAGGAGGTTTGATTTTTCATTTTGAAAAGATTCTTGTTTAGACATTTAATTTATTTTATATTAAAACCAATTTAATTTTTTTTAACATTCCACAATCAAAAAAAAATGTTTTGAAATGATCAACATGAGCCATTTCAATGGACCCCCAGACAATTTGCTGTTGCTGTTAGGAATTTCAGTCCATAAAAATAGTTGCAAGTTTTTTGTCCCAGAGACAAACTCTTTGAAATCCCAAAGTTTTTCACGAAACAGAAAATGTGTTTGCCGACCAGCTCCACACCCAATGCTCTCTTGGGGACATGAGCTGAGAATAAAACACGTGTGGCAGACGTTAGTCATGTTGCTTAATCCACTACTGGAATGCACTTGGCTGCTGTGGAGATGAACCTGGTATAAGAAACTGTATAAAATAGACTAGGAGCTCGGCATTTCATTAGCCCCAGCCATCTGCAGAGCACAGGCTGCTTTTCAGGTATTAATGAATTAAGCCACAGAAGTTTCCCACTGGCCTTGGCCCTAACGTACTTTGTTATGACTAGAGCCCTGAGAAACGATTGCAATGAATCCCCAAACCATGCGGAAGATGGCTCGTAAATTACAAAGCAGTGACTCAAAGCAGGTTTGCTGATGCTGATGAATCAGGGCGAGTGGAGGAGGGGAATCCTTTATTTGAGCAAGCTTGGGCAGATTTAGGGCTTGGCCCAGAAGGTGTGCAAAACCTGTCGTTCTCCAGGATTCCCATCCAACACCATCTGTGACTCTGCTGTTTCCAGTGAGGTGGGCTTTGAATTTTGGGGAGTTTTTAAATCCAACTCGCAAAGTAAAACTTGGGACGGGAGAGAGGGCACGGAGTGGTGGGAAAGGGAAGTGCAAAAACTCTGCAGATCGTAACCGAAATAAATGTTCACGCAAACCCCTGTGAACTGAAACCACCCAGTCTCACAGGGCTCTGATTTAAACACGCTGCCAGCGGGCAAGGGTCTCTACAGCCAACCCAGCCCAAACCACTCTAGAAAGGGGTTGTGGAATTGCAAATACATCATTGCAAATGGCAGTGGAAAAATACACCATATTCTGGGATATATTAGCAGGAGTGTTGTAAGCAAGACACAAGAAGTAATTCATCTGCTCTATTCCACACGGATTAGGCCTCAGCTGGAGCATTGTCCAGTTCTGGGTGCCGAATTTCAGGAAAGATGTGGATAAATTGGAGCAGGTCCAGAGAAGAGCAACAAAAATGATGAAAGGTCTAGAAAACATGACCTATGAGGGAAGATTGAAAAATTTGGATTTGTTTAGTCTGGAGAAGAGAAGACTGAGAGGGGACATAACAGTTTTCAAGTACGTAAAAGGTTGTTACAAGGAGGAGGGAGAAAAATTGTTCTCCTTAACCTCTGAGGACAGGACAAGAAGCAATGGGCTTAAATTGCAGCAAGGGAGGTTTAGGGCATGAGGAAAAACTTCCTGTCAGGGTGGTTAAGCTCTGGAATAAATTGCCTAGGGAGGTTGTGGACTCTCCATCACTGGAGGTTTTTAAGAGCAGGTTAGACAAACAGCTGTCAGGGATGGTCTAGATCAGCGGTTCTCAAACTGGGAGTCGGGACCCCAAAGTGGGTCGAAACCCTGTTTTAAAGGGGTCACCAGGGCTGGTGTTAGACTTGCTGGGGCCTGTGGCCAAAGCCCAAGCCCCACCACTTGGGGCTGAAGCTGAGCCAAGGGCTTCAGCCCTGGGCTGTGGGGCTCAGCTGCTGCTTCAGCCCTGGGCAGCGGTGAGGCTCAGGTTACAGGCCCCCTGCCTGTGGCTGAAGCCCCAGGCTTCAGTTTTCCCCCCCCACACACACTGGGTGGTCAGGCTTGAGTCCCGTCCGTCCCCCCCCCCCCCCCGGCCCGAACCCAGGGTGACAGTGCTCAGACGGGCTGAGGCTTCGGTCCTGCCTCCGGCGCGGTCATGAAGTAATTTTTTTTGTCAGAAGGGGGTCACGGTGCAATGAAGTTTGAGAACCATTGGTCTAGATCAGTGGGTCTCAAACTTTTTTACTGGTGACCCCTTTCACATCACAAGCCTCTGAGTGTGACCCCCCCTAATAAATTAAGCACACTTTTTAATATATTTAACACCATTACAAATGCTGGAGGTAAGTGGGGTTTGGGGTGGAGGTTGACAGCTCACAACCCCCCATGTAATGACCTCGCAACCCCCTTGAGGGGTCCCAACCTCCAGTTTGAGAACCCCTGGTCTAAATTATACTTAGTCCTACCATGAGTGGAAGACTTGAGGTCCCTTCCAGTCCTATGATACTATTCTCTGAAACTTGCCCTTTTCAAAATGACTGTCTTAGGTACTTGACTGCCTCCATCACTACAGTACCTGAGGGACTCGCAATCTTTCATGGATTTATCCTTACAACGCCCGTGAGCTAGGGAAGTCCCATTATCCCCAGTTTGCCCAATAACATTCAGTAGACGCAGCTTCTTCCCACCGTGGCCTTTTCTCTCCTTTGTTCAGTGTTTTTCATTTTGCAGGCATCTCTGTAGGAGTAAGACCCTTCTATGGACTCACCTTCCCACCCTGCCTTCCAACTCCCCACAAGAGTTTCATTCAACAGACTAGCAGAAGCTCCTCCTCTGCTAACCCACCAGCCGGAGCTTTCAGACTGCTGCCCCGGCAGCTAAAGTGGGAAGCTATTGTAAAACTATGAGAACTTCTGCTAGTATCTTCCTCCCCCATTTGTCTGTTTATTTTCCTCTTGCATATTGTCTAAATCCTAGATTGTGAGGCTGTTAGTTTGCATGGAACTCCAACGGGGGTCCCTAGCTACTACCCCATATTACCATATTAAGGTAATGAAAAGAATATTTTTGCTTTCTCCGGTTTGGCAGAGAGAACACCACACTGGGAATAACGGTCACGTGGTTAAGACATGACTTAGGAGACCTGCGTTCTGGTTCCAACTCTGCCACAGTCTTGCTGGGTAACCTTTGACAAGGCTCTCACTCTCTCTGTGCCTCAGTTTCCACACATGTAAGATCAAGATCGTAATCCTTACCCACTCTCGTAAGGCAATTTGCTATCTGTGACTGGAAAGCTCTGTATAATCTGGAGCTGTCGGTTAATAGCGTTTTCCCAGCTCTTTGAAAACCCACAGTCTGCTTGTTTTGAAGTACTAAGGATTGACATTCAGTGATGTGCCCTTTTCATCGCATAACGTAATGTTTTTCAGGAGACACAAGCTTTACAGAGAGGAGCTCAACCTAACATCTCCTGACTCACTGCTGCAGCTCGGGCGGGAAGCAAGCTGGCTCCAATTCCACCTGGGCATCACTCGCTATGGGCTGTATCCCAGATCCAGCCCTGCCACTAACAAACTCCTTCATGACATGCAAGATTTTAACACTGTCAGTGCCGGTAAGAGTTTCCATATACTCACATTCAACAAGAGCTGGGAAAGGCTGCTCGCTTGGCACCAGAATAGAACTGGTTGGAATCTTTCAAATGAAAAGGTTTTTTTGTAAAAAATAAATACATGCACACATTTAGGGACAATCTTCAAGCCTTGGGGTTTTATTTTTATTTGGTATAAAACTTTCTCCAAAACCTTATTGAAAACGTAACTGACAAATTTCAATAACATTATCAACATGATTTTAAATAGGGAAAATAGGTTTTCCATTTTTTTGACCTGCTCCTAAGTGCCCTACACTGCAAACAAAAGACCCACGGCAGCGAGTCTGGGGCGACTGACTGTGGCTCATGCTGCGAGGCTAAGAGAGCATTATAAATGTTCTGGCTCGGGCTGGAGCCTGGGCTCTGAAACCTGACGAGGGCAGAGGGCCTCAGAGCACAGGCTCCAGCCCTAGACCCAGTGTCTACACCAGTGGTTCTGGTGGGGGGCCACAAGCGGGTTTCAGAGGGTCCGCCAAACAGGGTCGGCCTTAGACTTGCTGGGGCCCAGGGTAGAAAGCCAAATCCCCATCACATGGCGCTGAAGCCCAGGGCCCTGAGCCCTACCTCCTGAGGCTGAAGCCTAAACAAGTTAGTTTCGTGGGCCCCCGTGGCATGGGGCCCTGGGCAATTGACCTGTTGCTCCCCCCTAACGCTTGCCCTGGCTTTTATACGCAGAAAAACAGTTCTTGTGGCAGAGGTGGGCCATGGAGTTTTGAGGTGGGCCATGGAGTGGGAGGGCCTCAGAAAGAAAATGGTTGAGGACCCCTGCAGATAGTGCTACCTTTACACCCACACACGAGCCCAAGTCAGTTGACCCAAACTCTGGCACTTGCTGCCAGGGGGATAGTCACTTGTGAGAAGTGACTGCTGGACTCACACTGGTCTCTGACTCCGCCTTTTCTGAGAGTCGTCCTGAGCCAGACACCAGACCGACCTGACCTCGCTTCATTTCGTTTGCTTCGCAGCAAGTGGGTTAACTCCAGCAGCACCAGTCTCCAGCGGCACGTATCTGTTTTGAAATGGCAGAGGCCGGGTCATGAAACATTGCTAGAATGAGTCCAGGTTCAATGTGAATGATTCTCTTATCGCTTTTTCTTTCCCTGCAGATTACAGTCAGGACGAGAAAGCTTTATTAGGAGCTTGTGACTGCACCCAGAGTAAGTGATTCATTTGTGTCCTAGCTACTTGCACCTCATTTTACCTCCTTGTATTAGATAGCTTAGCAAACCTGACACCTTGTACGGAGAGGACATTTTCTTCTGTTAAGTGCAATGCATGTAAAAGAAATAGCAGCTTTGAATTTTCCCTGAATCCCATGTGAACATTTCCTGCTTCATTCAGTAATTCCTCAGCCTTTGTGCAAACTGCTGCCTTAAAAAATAAAGGTGAAAGTTGCAAATCCAGACCAGGTCAGTGCTGAGCCAAAGCCCTTATCTCTCTGCTGGCCTGTGTGAAGAAAGCTGATGGCCTGAGTTCTGTTTCGAGTGGAACTGCGATCCAGATCGCAGAAGCACATGACCACAAGTGCAATTAATTGGTGCCTTTGCTTTTAGTCTTAGCACGCGAGGCCAAGAACTGGGGAACTGCTCCCAAACCTCACTGAATGCATTGGGAGTCTTTGCATTGACGTAGTGAGCTTTGAGTCAAACCCGGAGTGAGCATGGACGTGCATTAACCCCCACAACCCCTAGAGGGGACCCTTCCAGCCTGAGGTTGAGACAACTTCGCAGGGCAGCATGGAGGAAGCTCATATTGCTCCGTGCCCAGGCTGTACCTGCTCTGAGAACAAGCAGAGAGCTCCATTCTCCAGGGCTGTCTATGCAGCCTTGTCACACAAATCCTGAGCTCTATGGCTTAAACGAGGGGGCGGGGCTTCCGTTTCTTTGGGAGGTTCCGCCCACCATCTCAGGATTTAAACAAGCTAGCAGCTTTCACCAGCATGAAAATCACTTTAAATTGCAGTGGGTGCCAATGTAGCACTTTTGTCACCCTGCACAGCCGCTAGGACCAGCGCTCAGCCCCCTGTTCACTCTGTTTTTTCAAAAAGAGTAGAATACATGTAGCACTGAGTGCCTGGTGAGAACAGCTGAGTGGGCATACTATAGACCACGGCCCTGGCTCCTGGGCCAACCCCACTTACGCTCCTGGGCTGTGTTGAAGATTTTCCCAGAAGGCAGAATCCAGGCAGTCAGCTTCCATCTGGCGCTCCCACTGCGGATTTTTTGACTTGCACATATACACCACCAGCAGCTTTTACTCTCAGTTATTGTTCAATAAAGGTAAGTGAGATGGGGAAATCCAAGATCGCAGAGGAGAAATGTCAAATGACTGAGGACTAGAAATGCTAAAGGAAAATAGTGTGCCTAGCACAGAGGAGGATCAGGGAAAATTACCATGGCAAGAACTGTAGGAGTGAGATGCAGCAGCGAATTACCAATAAATAGACCAGCTGACACAAGCTATTTTATCCATAGTGAGTTGGGAGATTTACTCATGTGGAGAAGGAAGTTGAATTTCTTTGCTACAAAATGATACTTAAGAAATATTTTACGAGTGTCAAACCAAGAATTTCCCACTCTGTTTTATTCTCCTTCCCTGACGCAAGTTGTGAAGCCCAGCGGTGTACACCTGAAACTGGTCCTGAGGTTCCAGGACTTTGGGAAAGCCATGTTTAAACCCATGAGGTAAGGAGAGTGTACATACGTATTCGCTCTAAATCACCTGCAGCTGCTTTTCCCCAAAATAGCCTCACCTAGCCGCTAAGCAAGGTGGCCTACGCTAGAATAAAGGCAATTGACCTCTGGCTTCTTTAGCAGAGCCCTCTGCGCAAATAACCACTGACAGCAACCAACCCGAAATGTTTCAGCAGGGAAGGACATGATGCAAGTGAATAGCTCCAGGCTGGAGTGGATGGGGTGAAGCAATGGGACACTGACCACCTGGCTTTGTAGTAACACAGGTTGACAAAGGATGTGGAAACTGCATTAGCATCTTTTGTCTCCTTTACTCAGTAAACCTTGTCTTGATGGCGCAAAAGGCTTCCATAAAAATTAGCTATCATTGGCTGTTCCCACTGTGTGACAGGTGTGCATGGCCCAGAAAAACACACAAAGTTCTTACACCTGTTGTTGGAATTGCATATTTAAAACTGGATTCGCTCCACACTGCTGACGCCGCAAGACCGTGCTCTGTGTGTGTGTGAGTGTGAGAGAGAGAGAGAGAGGGAGATTAGAATCATAGAATATCAGGGTTGGAAGGGACCCCACGAGGTCATCTAGTCCAACCCCCTGCTCAAAGCAGGACCGATTCCAGCCATGGCTTTGTCAAGCCTGACCTTAAAAACTTCTAAGGAAGGAGACAAAGGAAGAAGATTGTTGAGGCCTATACATTTCTGCTGTTTCCCAATAGAATTCCTATTTTCCTTTATTTGTTTTGTTTATTTAAGTCCCATGTCTATTTCCAGGAACTATCTCATGGTGCTGCTAGCCTTGAATAGCAGTTTTAAATTGCTTCTGCATTTATTTATAGCCCTTTTGGCCCTTTACATTTATTTCCATTCAGATTGCTTTCTGCGCACTGCCTTGGCTCGGAATGACGGGTCAAGCTTTTCTGAGTTCAACCATGTGCTTATAAGAGAGGCTTCTCTCTCTCTCTCTCTCTTCCCCATGGCTTGTCTCTATTAATTCCAAGAGGTAAAATATATAGTTTCCGAAGACACTCATTTAGCTGGGGCTGGTAGGAAGGTATGTCTTGGCTCGCCTGCTGTGAGGAGACAAGGCCAGCAGGCTTTGGATTTTAGCATGCTTTCCTGTTAAACACATGAGCTTGGAGGACTGATTAGCTCAGGGGATATGGAACCGACGGTGCTGCTTCATAAACAGAGACGGTAGGAACTCAGAATCGCTATCTGGTGGCTGTTTGGTGGCCTGAGAGAAATAGGCGGCTGGTCTCAGTCCTGTTGCTAAAGGACAGATGTCCACAGTTGACGGTAAGGGCATGGCTACTTGCTCTCAGGAGGTGTGACTGCAGCACATGTAGCCTTCGATTGACCGAGATTTCAGCTAGCTCTAGTAACTGCAATGGTGAAGCTGTAGCAGCATGGGTGGCCTCACAGATTAGCCCCCAACCCAGGTCCCTGGGCGTATACTTGAGTGACCACTGTTACCACACATGCTGCAATCACACCTCCCAGTGGCAGAGTAGACGCACCCTAAGGCTTTTGGTGCCAGTCTCAGCAGAAGGACCAGGAATCAAAGAGATAGGGAGAGCGAGACACTCTGCCCCCCTAGAGGTGGTGGTGAGGAGTGAGGCATGTTGGCAGGGCAGCCTGGCCCCAGGCTGCATGCTGCCCTGTGGGTAAACACGGTTTCTGGGGCTGCCAGTCCTGATCTACGTGCAGGCACAAACATTTCTAAACCCCAGAAGCACCGTCCACCTCCCGCCTCTCTCCGTGTGTCTGCCATTCCAATAAGCATCTGAGCACTGCTCCATCCAGCTGTTGCTTTTAATCATCCCTGGCCCATCACCAGTGCCTTTTAAATAGCAGCCATAGCCTGATGCTCTTGTCCTTCGGAGAATGTCATTAGCACAAGCATTGCAGGTCTCTGCGGTGCCCTGGGCTCTTCTGAAAAGCTCGCTTCCCACCTTGCTCCCGGGTCGCTTCCATCCTTCCCCGGGTGTGTTCTCCTGGCCCGGTTAGTAACCCCTTCATTTCTTTCAGACAGGAACGAGAGGAAGAGACTCCAGAAGATTGTTTCTACTTCACTGACTTTCAGAGACACAATGCGGAAATAGCCGCCTTTCACCTTGACAGGTATTTGTGCCCAGAACACGGAGCTTCTGAGTTACTCCTCTTCTCACTTCCTAGGGAGAAAAGCCATTAATTCAGTTCCTAAAAACCCGCAGTGACCTGGGGGAATCCAAGTCATGGTATGGGCTGCCTCCTTCTTCTCATGGATGTTAATAAGGGCAAGAGTTTTAAGGGTATTGAGATGCCTAACTCCCATTGTCAAACTCTAGGCCAAAGAGCGTTGATGTGAGGAAGCAGGATTGGGCATTGCAAGACTTGAGCAGCTTTTTGGCCAACGTCAAGCACAGTGTCAGCTTAGTATTTCAAACATCTTTCACTGTGGGACTATAGCCCGGATGCAAATCCCAATGGAGTCAAAGGAAAGACCCCTATTGACTTCACTGAGCTTTGTATTAGGCACGTGCATGAAGACGGACTTGATGATGAATTACCTGTTGTCAATGGGTCAGTAGCTTGCCAGCCTGTAGCACTGGTGAACTGTATTGTTTCTCCAAGGCAACCACCCCAGCAGGGAAGTCAGGGGAGGAAATGAGACAGGGTAGGTAGGCACATGGGATTTAATAAGCAACTCTCTTTCCGTTTTTATACCCCCATCCAGCCAAAGACTTCCAAGCACTTTACAAATGCTAATTAATTCCCACTCATAGCACCCACTCTGTGAGGCAAGAAAATGTTTCCTCCATGCAATGAATGGGGAAAATGAGGCACAGAAAGGCAGGACTAGAACTCAGGAGTCTCAACTCCCAGTTCACTGTTGTGGCCAGGCCACTCTCTCTCCCATCGCTAATCAAAACCTCTGCTCACCCTAAACTCCAAACAGTCAGACACTGTCCTCTTCCTCCCTTGCAGTAGCTTCCAGCTACAACAGAGCCAGGGTTCTTGAAATGCAAACCGTTCCCTGGGAGGCTGACACTGGTTTGCAATTTCTGGAAACAGCACTGGCTGTGAAATACTGCTTCAAAGTAGCTTAGTGGCTGGACTCCATTCTGAAAACAATCAGCCAAAAGGGGATACAATTAGAATCCCAGCTGTTGTCGCACATCCTCACTGCACAGATGGAGCCAGATTTTAGTGAGTCTTTATTTGTGCAAAACTCCTGTTGAGGTCAATGGCCCTTGATTATTGAGCTGCCGCATTTAGGTCCAGATCCAGATTTCAAACCCTTCCAAGTCTGGGAGAATTTGGATCCTATATTTTTAACAGAGGTTTGGAGGGATAAAAGGCCATTTGCTAAATCCAGATTTGTTTCCATTTTCGAGTCAGGCCATTTCCAAAGACTATCAAAGGAGACAGCTTTGCATTATGGGAAAAATCTGCAGCCACTCCTTGTGCCTAGTCATTACACATTTTGGTCCTGATCCTGAGAAGTGCTTGATGGAAGTCAGTAAGAATGTGCAGCGGCTGAGATCCTTTTGGGATCAGGCCTTTAATCATACAGAATATTCTGAGTCACTGTTGCTCACTGAGACAGGAAACAAACACCTGACAATGCAGGAGAGTTTGTTCCATGAGCTGCCACTTCAGAGGGAAATGCAGAATTGCATTAGGCCTGTTTTCCATACTGTAAATTCTCCAGTCCCTCTGAAGTGAATTACCAGCCCCATTCAAAGTGCTCACTGATCTCTAGTAAGGCAGAACACTGTTCTTGTCAGCCCTTGCCTTCTTTTCCTTGAAGTCGAGTTCAATTAGATAGGGGCTGGGTGACAGGGGAGAGCCTTTCATCTCTGATTTACCTGTCCAAATTTGCCAGTTTCCATCCCAAGCCTATTGGAAGCCTGATATAAAATGAGCCAGTAGTTTCAGTCCAGTTCCAGATGTCCTCATTCCAAAAGCAGCCATGAGTTGGCAGTGTTAGCAGAGACAGCGCAGACTAACCAACCCCAGAGGCGACTCGCCCTTCTTAACCCTCCAAGTGGTCTGGCCCTGTTAAGGATGGGGGCCATTTGGGGTGTAAAGCCTGGTCAACACACACAAAGTTGTACCGATTTAGTTACAGCGTTGCCTCTTTGTGTGCAGACACTCTTAGATGGGTTTAAACTTAGCTTATAATGGTTTAGAGCCCATCAGGACATTTACAGGTGCTGGCTAAATCGATATCACCAGTTTTAAACGTATGTCAAAGCATCCGTTGCTCCAGTTTACCTAAATCAGGTTTCAAATTGATTTGAATAAAACCGGTGCAACTTCTGTTTGCAGCAAGCCCACAGTGAAACAGGCTGTTACCCTGAGGAGGGCTAACCTGGTCCCCTTCACCAGCGCTAGATTACAGGTAACAACATAAAATGAAATCCCATTGGAAAAGGAGCCAGCTTTCCTCTCCCTCAGGAGAGGTTCCACTAAGCACAAGGGATGCGGCTGTTTTGCTGCTTTTTGCACTCCATCTTCTTCCTTTCACAAAGGCAACTTACATAAGGCTGGCTGTTAGGCCTGTAGCTAGATCATTCAAACCCCAGGCTAGGGAGTCAGGAGAACTGAGTTCTTTCCATTTCTAGCTCTGCCATTGCTCTGTGACCTGGAGCGACACACCTAGACTCCCAGTGCCTCAATGCCATTCAGCCTCTCTGGGACTCAAGTTTAACCATCTATAAAACAAAGCTAATGACACCAGTGTGACGCCAATTTTTAAAAAGGGCTCCAGAGATGATTCCGGCAATTATAGGCCAGTAAACCTGACTTTAATACGGGGCAAACTAGTTGAAACTATAGTAAAGAACAAAATTGTCAGACACATAGCTGAACATAATTTGTTGGGGAAAAGTCAACATGGTTTATGTAAAGGGAAATCATGCCTCACCAATCTACTAGAATTCTTTGAGGAGATCAACAAGCATATGGACAAAGGGAATCCAGTGGATATAATTTACTTAGATTTTCAGGAATGCCTTTGACAAGGTCCCTCAGCAAAGGCTCTTAAACAAAGTAAGCTGTCACGGGATAAGAGGGAAGGTCCTCCCATGGATTGGTAACTGGTTAAAAGATAGGAAACAAAGGGTAGGAATAAATGGTCAGTTTTCAGAAAGGAGAGCGGTAAATAGTGGTGTCACCCAAGGGTCTGTACTGGGACCAGACCTATTCAACATATTCATAAATGATCTGGAAAAAGGGGTAAACAGTGAGGTGGAAAAATTTGCAGATGATACAAAACTACTCAAGATAGTTAAATCCCAAGCAGACTGAAGAGCTACAGAAAAAGCCCGGGCAACAAAATGGCAGATGAAATTCAACGTTGATAAATGCAAAGTAATGCACGTTGGAAAGCATAATCCTAACTATACATATAAAATGATGGGGTCTAAATTAGCTGTTACCACACAAGAAAGAGATCTTGGAGTCATTGTGAATAGTTCTCTGAAAACATCCACTCAATGTGCAGCAGCAGTCAAAAAAAGCTAACAGAATGTTGGGAATCATTAAGAAAGAGATAGATAATAAGACAGAAAATATCATATTGCCTCTATATAAATCCATGATACACCCACATCTTGAATACTGTGTGCAGATCACCCCATATCAAAAAAGTTATACTGGAATTGGAAAAGGTTCAGAAAAGGGCAACAAAAATTATTAGGGGTATGAAACAGCTGCCATATGAAGAGAGATTAATAAGACTGGGACTTTTCAGCTTGGAAAAGAGATGACTAAGGGGGGATATGATAGAGGTCAATAAAATCATGACTGATGTGGAGAAAGTAAATAAGGAAGTGTTATTTACTCCTTCTCGTAACACAAGAATTAGGGGTCACCAAATGAAATTAATAGATGGCAGGTTTAAAACAAACAAAAGGAAATATTTTTTCCACACAACGCAAAGTCAACCTGTGGAACTCCTTGCCAGAGGATGTTGTGAAGGCAAAGATTATAACAGGGCTCAAAAAAGAACGGGATAAATTCATAGAGGATAGGTCCATCAATGGCTATTAGCCAGGATGGGCAGGGATGGTGTCCCTAGCCTCTGTTTGCCAGAAGCTGGGAATGGACAACATGGGTTAGATCACATGATTACCAGTTTTTTCATTCCCTCTGGGGCACCTGGCACTGACCACTGTTGGAAGACAGGATACTGGGCTAGATGGACCTTTGGTCTAACCCAGTATGGCCGTTCTTATGTTCACCTGCTCAATTTTTTAAAGTGCTTTGAAGTCTGAAGAGGAAAGCAGCTAGATACCAGCGAAATATTGGTTTTTTTAAAGTGCTCAGTAATTGACAAGCTAAATTCAGTTTCACATTTGATTCTTGGAAGCTGAGTGATTGCTCAGTGTTTGCATCATGGCATTACTGAGCCTGCCCAGTGGTTACTGACTCAGGAATCAGCAATGGTTTTCCACTCCCAGAGTCATCATTAAAAATTCCCTCAGCCCCAGGCTGTTGATTATCCGAAGTGAGATCAGTGAGATGAATCAACTGAGACAATAGGCTAAGTGGCTCCTGGTGTGTGTGCGAGCCCCTCCCAGCTTCCCACTGTCTGTGCTGTGCTGTAGCAGGTTCAGCACATCTCTGCAGAGTGTCAAACACAACATTGTGCAGGTCCTTGGCGGTCTCTCACCCTCGAAAGAGGCAACAGACTCATATGGATACACAATAAATTGGCTGGGGGAAAAGATGCTTAGAATTACAGCAGATCCTGGATGGAATAGCCAGTCTCCATCTCCAAACTCTTACAAGGCCCAGCTGTCGAAGCAGTAAATCCCAGACCACACCTCTTTTGGTTTGGAGTGTAAAATGGGCTTGCATATTTGCTAGAGATCACACAAGAAAGATTCTCATTTGGCAGTGTTGTCAGACTTTTAAAAAGGAGCATGATTTCAGAATAGAAACAAGCTCTTTTATATGGAGCGGGGTTTGGATTCAGTTGCTGGACCATTTCCCCAGCCTTACCATGTGCCGAGAAACCATTTCCCTTCCCCACCTCCTGGACTCTGCTTCAGTACCCTTTGATTGACACATTTTCACTTTTGCACAGGATCTTGGATTTCCGACGGGTCCCGCCCACAATCGGAAGGCTGATCAACGTCACCAAGGACATCCTGGAGGTCACCAAGAATGAAATCCTACGGAGCGTCTTCTTCGTTTCACCCGGTACGTGAGTGAAGATGCAGAAGCGAGTTCCTTTTACGAATACATTCTGCAGTACCAAGCGGATGGGGAAAGAGGTGTACACAGGAAAGGTCCAGAGGAAGTGTGCACTAGATGCTGCATTGGAGAGATCAAACTCTGCATGACACATGTTTATAATAATACCTCTATCGCGTCTTCCACCAAATCAGGGCTGAGTAGCGAATGAGGCTGTTGTGCTTAGCGCCCCTGCCTCATTTGTTGCCGAAGGTGGAAGGTGTGTAGTGAATGAGGCAGGGTATTGCAGAAAGAGAAAGGATGATCTCACAGTTAAGGCAGTTGAATGCTGATCTGGAGAACTGGATTATATCTATGTGATTAAAGAGTGTATTGTAATGCACAAGGAGGCTGAATTAAGCACAGGCAGCTCCAAAACTGGCATCTCCTAACTTCTGAGCACTTGTCTTGGCAACCTTAATAACGTTCTGTTAGTATGGTTTGGTGTATGTAACATTATTATGTAGCTAGTTGGAAATGAAGTGGGGAATATCAGGTGGGCTATACCCAACGCTCACACTCAGACTCCATCGTGTAGAGGACAGTGGTGTCTCTCTCTCGGACATTATGACTTGCAGTCTCTTCAACAGGTAGAGAGGTAGATCCTTCCGCCAATGTAAATTGTTACAGCTCCATTGACTTCAGTTTACATCAGCTGAGGATCTGGTCCAGAGAGTGTTTTGCTTCCATCATTTGCAACTTTCCTACAGGATTTATTCCCCCTCCAGGGGCGCCTGAACGGGGGGGACCAGAGGGTCATGGCTCCATCACTTTTTACTGTCCGTAAGGGCGAGCCGGCAGAGAGGAGCAAGCAGGGGGTGGAGTCTTGAGGGGAAGAGGCAGCGCAGGGACAGGAGCCTGGGGAAAAGGGGCAGCGCAGGAGGGACGGAGACACAGTTTGGGCACCAGTAGCCCCTCACTTGTAAAGAGTGTCCACCACTCCTGCCCCTCACAAGCACACACACAGAGACATAAGCCAGTGCTGTATGCAGCTGACTACAGCTAACGCTACGGCACACCCTAATGAATTGGTGGCCATCTAGGACTTCCTGTTACAATGCTAAATGTCATAGCCACTCAGAACTGCCTGGCAACACTGGGATCTTCCTGCTGCATAAACAGCACTTCCAGCACCTGAGTTAAAGGTGAATCTCCATTGGGTGGTGGCAATGTAGGGCCTATGACCCAAAGCAGAGCCATTCCAACCCCACCCAGCAGAGGGCAGCAGTGCACATATACAGTAGCCAATTCATTATATTAACTAGCTGGCTCTCTGTTCTTCCCGTAGCCAGCAACGTGTGTTTCTTTGCGAAATGCCCGTACATGTGCAAGACGGAGTACGCTGTGTGTGGGAACCCTCACCTGCTGGAGGGATCCCTCTCCGCTTTCCTGCCGTCTCTCAATCTGGCCCCGAGACTTTCCATCCCAAACCCCTGGATCCGGTCCTACTCGTTTGCTGGAAAAGAGGAGTAAGTGGGTAAATGCTGCAGCTCTGTGCAGTGGAAGGAGGCAGCGGAGTAGCAAGAAGGGGGCGAGTGGTCATGCACGTGGGGGAGAGGTGGAGACCAAGACTCAGAGGCTGCCTGCATGTAGCCTACCAGCTCCTAATGCCTGGGCCTGATGCAGCATCTCTCCCCTCCAGCTGCTGCTATTAGGATGCAGTTTTAACTCAGCTGAAGGGGAGTGGGGGAATATCGTTGCTGTGGCCAAGAGACAACAAACCTGCCAAGCAGGGTAGCCAGCTAAGTGTGGCAGGCACTGAGAAGCAGTGTGGGCCAAACTCAGCCCCTCTGTAAGCAGCTGGCACTCGTCAGCAGAGCCGCTGCTGCCCGTGCCAGACTTGAATCCAGCCCTTGGCGTCTCAACTCTGCCCATTCTCCAGGCTTGCAGAGCCGTAGCAAGGCAGAGCTGGCCGGGGCAACTGCGATCACATCCCTGCCTTCGAGTAGCTCCTGGAGGATGCGTTTGAGAAGCCGCCTTGTGTTCATGCTTCCCCTCTGTTTCCTGTAGGTGGGAAGTGAATCCACTTTACTGCAACACAGTGAGGGAGATTTACCCCTACAACAGCGGCAACCGGCTGCTCAATATCATCGACATGGCCATATTTGACTTCTTGATCGGTATGATGGACAGAACAACAATCCCCTGCTCTCCTCCTTCCCCCCGCCTCCCTTCATCTCCTTCCATCTTCCTACACCTCCTCCCTTCGTCTAGTCTTTCTTCCCTTCTACACCCCCCAGTAATTCTCAAGGTCGCTCAGAGGCCAGTTTTCCAAATCTTACGCTTGCTCCGTAGAGGTGGTTTGAGAGACTCCTACGGTCTCCGAGGCTCCCTTCCCTACCGCAAGCACACAATGCCCAGCCAACACAGAGCCCCTCGGTGACCCTATGGACACAGGTAGTGCTTAATTTGTAACAAACAAAGTGCCGGGGTTCAAGCAGATTTTTTACATTCATAACGGACACAGCAAGCCCAGAGGTGCCGGGGCTCTGAACTGCTGAGCCAACAGGTGCTGGGGCACAAGGACTAAGGCAGTGGTTCTCATTATCTTTTTATTATCTGGAGCTGGGCAGGACTGTGCAGATATGCTTCTATCCACCATCCCTCTGCAGCCTGCCCCGTTGTGGTCTTGTCTCACTAATCAGACCCTGGCTGCCAGGTTGAGGTCAACTGATGTAGAAGTTTATAAGAGGCGCCAATATCCTTTCATCCGGGAATTTATATGCCCTCATCACTGTAATACCTGAATGCCCTTGGCACAGACAGATGTCCATCTTGCACTCACCTTCCTGGAGGAAGATCCAGGAAAGGGAGCCTGACCTGGCGAAAAAAACACAGATCCTGGAGTTAGTTGCTCTGGGGTTCATCCCCTTAGGTGACTCCTTTCACCTCACTCTGTGCCTCAGTTTCCCCAACTGTAAAATGGGGTTAATCTCTCATAGATTCTGAGACACTATGGAGATGAGGGTCATATAAGCACCGCACTTAGCCAGCAAGGAGGTAATTTCATTACTGCTGGTAAAGCACTCTGAGATGAGATCCTGGGATTGGGGGTACTAGGGAGAGCAAACTATTACCGCTGTCAAGTAACGCCAGGCCTCCTGACTCACAGCTGGTGTTGCACAAATACTCCACCCCAAGCCAAGTAACCCTTGCTCAGCGCGGGCCTGAAGAATGACATAGCACCAGCGTTTTCACGCTGGCCAGTTCAAAGGGGCACTCAGTCACTACCCAGCATATGGCAAGACCAATATGCTCTCTCTCTCTCTCTCTCAAAAGGGAACATGGACCGTCATCACTATGAAATGTTCACTAAGTTCGGGGATGAAGGCTTCCTCATTCACCTGGACAATGCCAGAGGGTAAGGCACTCGCCCCAGCAATGAATTTTGGGGCACCTGGAATGTGAGGAGAGCAGATGGAGACACAGGAGGGGGCTGAGTACCAGGGGGCATGGGAGTAGGCAGACTGTGCTGGGGGTCAGATTGTGCTGGGGGGACGTAAGTGGGGCCCAGTGAAGCTGGGGGGTAGGCAGATGGTCCAGTGGTTCAAAAGGGGCGGATGATGCTGGGGCCTTGGGAGGGGGCAGACCTCAGGTGGCACTATGAGTGACTTGAACTCTGCCCTGACATCCTAGAATGTGTATCTAAATTTACTTTAGGGAAAGAATTTGCTGCCCATGAAAATGAAGGGCATGTTGCCCAGGCATGCACAATGGGGATACGACCTGCCCCTGCACAGCACGCTCTAACCTGTAACATCCCTGCTCCTGCAGCTCCTGGCATCTCAGCCTTTCCAGAACGCCCCATGGCCAGTTTTATTCCATTCTGTTATAGGAACCAAGGAGCAAGGGTCTGATGCAGACAGGTGTTGAGTGCTTCCTCTGAACACTTCTCATATAGGCTCGGACTCTCTAGTCACAGCTGTGTGTCCAGGGCATTGCGGGTAGCAGCTGTTCACCCTTGCCTTCCTTTGGCCCCTAGCTTTGGAAGACATTCCCATGATGAAACCTCCATCCTGGCTCCACTCTCCCAGTGCTGCATGTAAGTGAGATGGCAAGCTTGGTTAATTGTATTTGCTAGCCAGTCATGCTAGGGAGTCACCTGCATTACTACAGGGGAGTTTGGGAAGAGAGCAGAGTATAATTTTAATACTACACGATATTCTAGCATAATGCTCGACACAACCGTAGGATTCTATAGTGTTACCCCCACACAGTCCCATGCTCTACAATGCTGCAACACGCTATATAGCGCAGTGGTCACCAACCAGTAGATCGCGGTCGACTGGTCGATCCTGGAGTCTCTGACAGTCTATCGTGATCTCTGGCTGCTAAAAGTCCAGAAGCGCAGCGGGTCTAAGGCAGGCTCCCTGCCTGCCCAGGCCCCGTGTGCTGAGTCCCGCAAGTGGCCAGCACACCCCTATGGGGGTGAGGCCCCTGAGGAGGCGGGGGGTAGGGGTTCTCCATGCTGCTCCTGCCTGCAGCTTCCATTGGCCAGGAATGGGGAACTTCAGCCAATGGGAACTGCGGGGGCAGTGCCTAGGATCAGCGGGTGGAGACATGTCCCTCCCCCCTCAGGGGCCGCAGGGATGGCCACTTCCAAGAGCAGCACGGGGTCTGCCTTAGCCCCATTGCACTGCAAACCAGGAGTCACCCGAGGTAAGCACTGCCCAGTGGGAGCCTGCACCCCAACCCCTGGCCCCAGCTCTGAGCCCCCTCCTGGAGCCTGCATCCCAACACTCTGCCCCAGCCCTGAGCCCCTTCCTACACCCAAACTCCTTCCCAGAGCTTGAACCCCTCACCCTCTCTTGCATCCCAACCCCCCGCCCCAGGCTCAGCCCAGAGACCCCTCCCACACTGCAAACCCATCAACCCCAGCCCCGAGCCTGCACCCCTCCCCCTGCCCCAGCCCAGTGAAAGTGAGTGAAGGTGGGGGAGAGCAAACAACAGAAGGAGGGGGGAATGGAGTGAGCAGGGTGGGGCCTTGGGGAAGGGGCAGGGCCTATCCTGGGTTGCACTTAAATTCAAAAAGTGGTCCTGTGTAGAAAAAGGTTGGAGACCACGGCTCCAGCATGATATTATAGTACTAAGCTCTACAATGCTGCAGTATACTAGAATATTGTATCACATTACACTTTCCAACTCCTAACGCTTTCCATTTCTCTAGTGCCTTTTCAGCAGAGCATCTTACATCATATCAAAAAAGCCCAGCTGGGCCTCCCAACACCCCAGGAGTTACATAAGGAACATGAAATGTTGACAGATTTGGTGCAGAGGAGCAACTCTTTGAAACAGCCTTCGTACAGCCACGCTTTTGTAACGCCAACAGACGCTGGCAGCCAGGATCAAACCTAGGACCTCTGGCGCTTACTTGCATGAGCTAAAAGATACGTCTCTTAGCCAAGGCTGTTTCAGGCTCATCAATCGCTAGCTGGTCTAGGTGCCATTAGAGGGGGACAGAGTGCCACACCAAGAAGGTGTGGGTTACACTTTCTTCCCGAGAGGTTGGGTTGCTCATCTATACATAGGCTTGGAAGGATTAGATTTTTGTTAGTAAATGTCCACACACACTGATTTCACTATACATGCAGAAACCAATGAAAAAATATTTCCACCACGAATAATAAAAATGTACAGATAGGCAATATCTGAAAAGTTATCAGGGTTTGATTAAAGGCTATTTACTTTGTCTGTTGTGACAGGTGATGTTGTCAGTGTTTTAATAGTTATAAAGCTTTAGCTTTTTGAATCTCATCCTCTGCTGTCATTCAATAATTGTCTGACCTCCCCCCCACCATAATTTCATTCAATGGTAAAATCAATACGGATCAGGGAACAAAGGCTTAACACCCGCTATTTTGCGCAACTGTGAAAATTTTAAATCAACACTTAAAAATAAACCTCAATCGCTATCAAAATGATCAACAAATAAAGGTATAAGGTGAATTTCAGATCCAATTCTTTAGAACCCTGCCCGTAACACTCAGACAATCTCTGCCTTTTAAAGGCCTGGGAGAACGTTGATATAGTTAATCAGTCTGGTTTCCCCCTCTCCAATTATTAAAAAGTGCTCATAAATTTTACTATTTGAATCCTATTTCAGCTACTCCCTTATTAATTCACATAAATCAATAGCTGAAAGTTAAATTAAAGAGAGTCATGGTGAGAGCTGCTGTTCCCTGTGGTTTCTCTTTAGGAAATGTCTGACTTATTTCTTTACCATTCCTCAATTTAACCCAGCTGAGACTCTGGCCCAGTGTTTGGTTTTGTTTGTTTTTGTTTTTTTAAAAAGGACATTCTTCTGGACTTAATGACTCTAATGGAGAAGCTACCAGATCCCTTAGCCAGCTGCACCAAAGTTCAGTCCCCTTCATCGTTAAACATTAACATCTTATTTCCCCTTTGAGTTTTTCCTAACTTCAGCTTCCTGTTCTGCCTGTGTCTATTAGGCTAAAGAGCCTGCTAGATTCAGGTTAAGGTATTTATACAGATAGGTCAAGATATGCTCTAGTCCAAGATATTGCTGTTACTATCACTTACAAAATGCCCTCAGTGTTTTTATAGCTCTATAGCAAAAGAGGGCCCTTGTCCTAGCTCAACAAAAATCTAAAGCTAAGCAGAGAGAAGACTGAGACCAGTACTTGGCTACCTTGCAGGGTGTCTCCTGGTTGGTAAAGTGCCTAGAGGTTCTCGGCTCAAATTTCATGTAGCCACACAAACATGTATCATCCCTACCATTGTTACACTTTAAAGGAACGGAGTGTTCTTCACTTCCATCGGAACACCACTTTGCCAAAAATACTGTGACAAAAATTAATTAAACCCATTCTCGCTGTCGCCCACTGGCAGATTGCTGGGCTGACACAGCAACTTAGTACTTGGGAGGATACAAAAAGTTGGTGTAAAAGTGTCTGATCCGAGTCCTTGTTTTCCCAGAATAAAGAGGACAACATTACTACACCTGCAGCTCCTGGCCCTGCCCGAGTACCGGCTCAGTGATGTCATGAGGGAATCCCTCCTGCTGGATCACCTTGCACCTGTCCTCACTGAACCTCATCTCTTGGCTTTGGACAGACGGTTGTGGCTCATCCTGAAGACAGTGGGGAAATGCATAGACGCACACGGAGAAGACAAGGTTGTGGCCAATGACACCAAGCAGCTGGAAGTGCCCTTCTTTGACAGAGTGATGCCAACCAGCTAGAGCCTTAAATTCTTTGGAGGGGCAGGGAAGAGCCCCTGGGAGCCAGCCGGTGAACTTTAATTGCTGATAATTTTCACCTACACAAGCCTGTTGGATTGAGAGTCGAAGCTCTTTGGAAGGGCTTAGATTCTTACTGGGCTTTTATGGTGACTGTGCCCAGCAAGACTGTTCCACTCAAGCTTCAGTGCATGGGGTAAACTTTTGCAAGTACATTTGCAGGCCAGGGCCTGACCACTAGACTCATTCCATGAGCTGCTGTCCCTCAGTGGAGCAGCACAGACTCATCTGCTTTGTAGCTGCAGGAGAAGAGCCTGGGCATTGGCTTGCTGTACCTGCATGGGAGCCACATCCTGTCCTTGACACCCCAAAACTGGATCCAAGAATGAGGCTTGAATAAAGCCATGCTGAAAGGAAAACGTGCTTAGCACGGCCAGGTTCTGTGAGAGAGCTCATACACTTGAGTAAAAGTGGCCTTCATCACTGCAAGCTAGGGCAGCATCTGTCACCTTAAAGTCAAGAAGGCTCATGGGGCCAGCTCAGCACCACCTGTCTACTATTCATGCAATCAGAAACCCTCCATCAGCCTTGGGTAAAATGACAAGCAGCTCCAGGTGAGCTGTGTGTCACAAGGCCTACACCACAGAGCCAAATATTTGAGTTTTTCCAGCTGGTGTTATGGGGGAGGGGGGAGGAAGAGGAATTATGCTGTGGGTTGCAAAGGAGAGGCAATTTAACATTCATAGTATTTAGGCCCCAGCAGTGCAGCTCTGCAAAAGATAAAGAGCTTGACAGAGATACATCCACTCAGCCAAGAGCATGACTGCCTTGAGAGCTGGGATGCTAAGCAAGGGGCTCTCTCTCAGGTTAATGTAGGCACAGAATAACAGCTTTAAAAACCAATATTTATTTAAGCAATTGTTAAGCAGTTCATCAGAACACAGTGGAAGCTTGCAAGAGATTCATCCTTCATTCTCTCTAGCACCTCTGCAGATTTCAAAAAGTATCATAGGAACTGGAGACCAAAAACAAAACATGCCAGCTCCTCAAAAGGCCTTAGATAAGCTGTCCTCTTCCCCTTGCCTCCCTAGGATGAGGCTTAAGAATAGTTTGCTAATTGAATCTTTACCAACTGGTTCCATTTTAAGTGTTCAGAATGATGGAGCTGAGCTTTTTGGTAGCAGTTGAGAACTTGTGTTATTTTCCAGTGATTTTTCCAGTGATTTGTGCCAAATTATCAACACCACTGTATTCTGCGGTGTGCTTGACAGAACATTTGACACCTGTCAGCTGAGAATTTGACTCAGATTGCATTTGATGCATTAAGCCTTTACAAACAAGACACATGGATTTCAACTAGAGTTCTTAACCATCTTTGAGCAAGCTGCCTCAGCATTAGTTTTGTTGCTAGTTGAAATTTACTATTTTAAGTCAGTGAGTTTTCAGTCATGATAACAGGTGCAAAATGAAGATTAACCTCAACTCTAGCTTAATCAAGTCTGTCCCCATCCCACATACCACCTTCCCCATGGGACTGTACTTTAAACTTCCCCAACTCCAGAATGATTTTTAAATTGGCTGTATGTCAACATACTATAACAGGTCCACAGCAGACTGCAATTATCAGTTGGAGTAATCAGAGTTGTGTTTTGGCAAAGCTAACATCTTCTCAGTGATTCTGTGGCAATTGTTAGTGGTAAATCTTTGCTAACCCAGAGTGGGAAAGCAAGACAGATCCCCAGTTTTTCCTGTCTGAGGAAGTTTGATTTGTTGTGTCTTTTATTAAAGCTTCCTCCAATATTTTAATGTAATAAAGATAAGAAACCAAAGAATAGGTGCCTGACTTGAGTCTTGATTCCATCAAGTGTTTCCACTTTGAGCTTTTCTACCAAAGCAACTCTATATAAAGCAGTTAACTAGTTCTCTGTTTTCAATCAGTGCTCAAAAGAGCTCTGCATACTGGTGGGGGTTCTCCCTCCTGCCCCTTTTACACTGATTCTAGTACAGCAGAGAATCAGTTAAAATGAAAGGAGTTGAGAGATTTAGCTTGCAATGTAGTGTAGTTATTTCAACACATGGACTTGATGTTCCCAAAGTTAGATCTCCCTCTACTGGTGCCTTTAATGCACTGCAGAAAATTGGCCAAATCCAAGAATTGTTCTATAACAAAACATATACAAACACCTGTTACTAGCAAATGTATCAGGAGGAATTAGGTTTGAGCCCTTGCTCTTAAATGTGCTCTGAGGCTTCCAATCAGCTGCTGATTTCACCAAGGAAAAGAGACAGGAACACCCCTGGCTGACTACCCAGAAACCACCTCCACCGATCCCAGATGCTGAACACATCAGGACAGATTTTCCTCTCACCTCTAGTGAGTCTCCAGCTGTCAATGGTGTTACTCCTACTTTACATCAGCAGGAGTGAGTTAAGAATCACACCCACCTTTCTTATTTCTTTTCATGTGCCCAGCAAGACACGCACGTAGAGTCCCCATATAGTCAAAGTTTCCATTCAGGTCACATAGGAAACTAGAGTGGACAATTTAGAGAAGCTTATGAGCTCCAATAATGGAAACCAGGTCAACAGTTTGCTATCCTGAATGGGGTAAAGTGAGATCTGTAGTAGCTAGATTAGGGGAAGGGAGAAGAGGCACAAGATGCAGATTTTACAAGCATTTAGTCTATTCGTTGTTGTGTGCACCAAATATGTGTGAACAGATGCTAGTCAGACAACTGAGAATGGTCAGGGCTCCAAAAATCAAGATGTTATGTGTCCAAGAGGAACAGCTTTGCTAGCTATAAAAACAGACCACGAGGTAAGTGCTGTGAAGGGAATTCTCATTTGTGAGCTAAGCTGTGATTTGAACTCAAGTCTGCAGCCGTAAAAAGCTAATGCATTAAGCTACTTTGCTTCCTACAACTCATTAACAATTCATCCTTCAACACCACAGTAAAATAAGATACAAGGGGGAGGAAAAAAAAAAAGACAGATTGCATTTAAGAATTTAAATCGTTTTTATTGCTTTACCTGCCATTAGGACAATCTATAACAAAAGGAATAATAATATATTAGCACATACAGTACATCAGACTTATATAGTCAGATAACAATACAAAAATGGTCCTCTGGTTGACTATAGCTCTCTAGGGCAGTAGACTTCATAACTTTGCTAAAAGGTGGCCTAGCAAGAGATTACTTCTAAAGCCCTGAATGTTAGCTAAGGCAAACTATGCCAAACTGTGGTTTCAAACATATTTAAATTGCACACAAAGGTAAAGCTATAACTGTGATTAATATTTAACTCAGACTTAGCTGAGTTATCTTAAAATCTTGTAGGTAAAACTACAAAAGGGAGTAAACAGCAAGCTAAAAAGATGCAATAGTGAAACTTGATTAGAAAGCCTTATATAAAAAAATGTGCATTTTTTGTGGAGCTCTAACTAGTTTACATAGGTGTGTGTGTTTTTTTGGCGCTTCAACAAGGATCAAATCAAGTTTCAAAGTAACTAAACATATATGAAGAAAAAACCTAGCTACAGTGAAAACTGAAGAAAATAGTTTTAAAAAACTAGTTTTGTTTACTCCTGTAGAGCACTGATAGGAATCCTCCACTCAAAAGATCTTTTGAAAAAACAAATAGTTCACACAACATAATCCTTTTACAATTAATTCCATTTCAGGGAGTTTGTGGGCTCTAAAATATCCCTAAAACTGCAAAGATCTGATACCCTCAACTTTGTATTTATGTCTGATGAGCAGACATTTAAAAAAATGTCTACAAGCCTGGAAAGTAGTCTTCCAAGTCCAATTACCTCAGAAAGGAAAAAAGAAGGGATCCATCATTAGAAACAGTTGCATAATGAATGCAAAAATGCTTGCTGTCACTCCCAAATACAACCCTACGCTAGTTCATATAAATTACAGTTTAAAGGAAGCCTTAAGTTGCCTACATTATTGAACTGTGGAATTCAGTCAAATTTGTTGGGTAATATTGGTATGCACAGAATAATACAACACAAAGCTGGTAAATACTGAAATACATTTAAGACTTAGCAACAGGTTCCAAAAATATGTAAAATATTTTCTCACGTGAATCTGAAAAGCTGGGCAGGAAACAGAGGATGCAGTATGTGTGTTCAGACTAACTTTAAAATGAAAACTAAAAAGATAAAAACTTTCGGCTGGTTTAAAAATATACATTACTTAAAACAACTGAGTAGCAGGAATAACCAAGACATTCACTTTTTCTGCCTCACATTCTCCACAGCATCACCATTCATCTCATTGGGCTAGACGCTCCACCCTGCATCTGATGCTGGTTGTGAACAGGCAAAATTAGTTTCCCGGGTACCAAGGAGTTAACTGAGCAAACAATCTTTTGAAGGACAGAGTCAACTGTGAAATAAGTAGCAAGCAAAAGTTACAGGGCAAAACAAAATGTACACTTCCAATTCCTGCACTGCATCCAGAGCACAAACATTACTATTTGGCACTAGCTGGGTAGTTGTACAATTCTTGTGCCAGTCTAACGACAAGTGACTGAAGTTAAGTGTTTAACCCAAAGTTTGGCTTTTGAGGTTAGGAACAGGAACAATCTAGAGGGGTGAATCCACAGCTGACAACAAGACAGGCAAAGATCAGTTGCAGTGAGAGTCAGGGAACTAAGTAATATCTGCAGCAGTTGACCAGAACTATAAACCTTAAAAGCTTTTACGCGAAACCTGACAAAACATAACCAAGCAATCTTGAACCAGTAGACAAGGGTATAGAGCGACTGCTAACTTCCAACTGTGGCTGTACTAGCAGCTGATGCCTCAGGATTGAATTGAGGATTACAGTACCCAGAAAATTTAAACCTAGAGAAGCTCAATTATAAGGGCAGTTCTCTTTTCAAAAGACAGTAGATTAGGACCACAGCCTAAAAATATGAACAATCTGTAAAAAAAATTTTTCCACTGTTACATCCCGACTCTATGGCAATTAGCTTAGTGCCAGGAGATCTCTTCACCAAAAAGCAAGTCAGCAATGGCCCAAGTCGGACACTAGACATTGCATAGAGAGAAGCAGTAACAGCAAAGGTCTCCATAGAACTTTCTATTTAACGGGACAGAGAGCACAGAACTAATGCTCTAAAATAAAAATGGTGCTTTGATAAAGCAATTTCTCTTTAAACAGACAGGAAGCTGCAAATGCCAGTGGCCGTGTGGCTCTGCACAAGGGAATAAAGCAGTCTGCATTCGTGAAGCATGTATTTGAGAGGGAGCAAAATTTCAGACAGACAGGGATACAAAGCTGTTGTACTGCTGGATGTTTCGTTTGAGAATATCTGAGCACGGACCCAGGACACGCTCAAATCGGGGTCGGTCAAGCTTTACACATTTCAAGGGGCCACGAGCAACGACTGTGGCAGCACGAGGACGGTTCATCAATAGAGCTATTTCACCTGGGACGAGAGGAAATGAGAACACAGTTAAAAGAACTGTAGCTACCATACTATTTACAACTGCTACAAGAGTGCAGAGAAGAGAACGCCAGGTTTTTAGCACGGATCAGGAAGATCTGTGAATAGAGTTGTATTAATAACGAAATCAGTGCTTAGAAACTATTCAAGGGATTGTCAAGTCAACTGCTTCAAGAATAGTGTCTTCTATGAAGGTAGACTTTTATTCGAGGGAAAAAAATTGGGGATACTCTGGGGTGTTCAGGACAGTTTGCTGCATTGTCTATTTGTACAGGTTTCACAATTCATAGGAGGTCCAAGTCATTTTTCTAGTGAATGAGTGGTTAAAAAAAGGTAACTGTTTACAGTAAAGCACCTGCATAGTTATTAACATGCTGTAGAAATGACTTTGTGTATCTTACGAAAACATAAGGATCTGGTATCCAAGGACATCTTTTTAATGTAAAAAAACCCAACAAAGCACCATTTGAATACAACCAGATCTGAAATCTATGACTACTAATTTGAGAGATAACAGTTCCCTCAGTTTAGATATGCTTTGGCAGTGGGCTAATGGAGATCCCATATCGGGAAACCTCTAGCTTCCCATTTAAGAAAAACCACAAAGTCAAAAAGCTTTGTTTCAAAAACCTGTTACAGTTACTAAGTAACAACATGGTTACCTATCACAAATTCTAAATACCTAGAACAGAGACATGTTCAACTTGGCAGTTATATTTCCATCAGAACATTCTGTACCTACGTGTAGCAACAGTAACCCCCAGAAATTCTAAAGTGAAAAGTATGAGGAAATAGTCATTTTCCCCAATTACTTTGCATATAGTCAACCTCCATTTTTTTTTTTTTTTGGATAGTAAGTTGCACTTCCAGTTTCATGCATCTGCCTGAAGACCCTGCACATTACTACTCCTCCGCATGTTCTTCAAGCTCTGCAAGAGGCTGTATGCTAATTAAAGTACCAGCAAAGCTGAAAAACTGAATATGCCACAGGTAGGCTTCTGCACTAAAGGAAGGGAGAGGGAGAGAAGGCCTGTGCACTTTTTTCATTGTTCTGAAGACATCCCAAGATATATTTCTTTAAACCTCAGAGGAGTTAAAAATAAAGCAGACACAGACATAAATCAAAACTATACACTACACTATTTAAAGAGTGCTGGATGCAAAAAGAGTCAGTCAAAATAAAAACCACCACGATCACGTTAGTGTCCCTCCAAAAAGCAAAGTACTTTACAGTTAAGAACATTCAATATTACTCACAAAATATAAAGAATGTATATTTTGTCACAACCTTAACGGATGCAACATATACCATTAAAGCCCTCCTGAAGAAAGTGTGTATGTACATGAAAAACTTCACTTGAAGCTGAT